GTAATGAGTAAGGTTTTTTATTCAACATTTCTAGAACTTAGTTTGTAGGTTATTGTTTATATTATATTGTATTATGTAGTTTAACATTTAGGTAACTTAGTTTTTGTACTAAATAAACTTTGTATTAGTTTAACTTTGTAATGTATTGCATTGATGTATTTTTGAATTATTGTCTATTAAAAATCTGGAATCTGGACTCACTGTAAAACAAAATAAACCTAATATTAAAAAAAAGAATGAAATTTACGTCGGTTATGCCCTGGTCTAACATAAATTAATGTCGATTATATGGCTTGGTCTGACGTAAATTTACGTCGATTATACCTCCTAATCCTACGTAAATTTACATCGGTGATTATGTCCAACGTAAATTTACATCTTCCGTATTAACATCAAATTTGTATTTGACGTAAAAAGGTTAAAATAATAGACATAATAACCTTTTTTTGTATTAGTGCTCCAAATGAACCAAATATGACATTAACTTACATCTACAACAATCTTTATCAGGACCATGGAGGTTAGTGACGAATCTTGATCATTGATTCTGGGGGACCAAATAATATATTAATAAAAAATAATAAATAAATATAAAAGGGTGAAAGAAGATAAAAGGGTGAGAGAATAAAATTGTAAATGTATAAGTAAATATATAAAATGATCATTAAGTTTGAGGGGCAAAATCATAAATTATATTAGAGTTACAAAACTGAGGAGAGACTGAGAGGATAAAATTGTAAATATACAAGTAAATATATTAAAGTTTGGAGGGTCAAAATCATAAATTACATGGGAGTTACAAAACTTTTGGGGGGCACGACCCCCCTCAGTTCTCAAGAAGATCCGCCACTGATGGAGGTTAACGTTATCGGTAGACATGTGATTTAACATGTATAATATAGAAGATACACTACATAAGATGATTAGTGATGCAGTGTTGACATTTTGTTGTATATGTTCATGAGCCTGACATATTAAGTTCATATACATCCCTGACACATTAGTACTGAATTCTTCTTCTTCTAAATCCATATATTATTCATTTCAATTTTCCATGGTCAAATAATGATCTCTATGTAACACAAAAAAAAAACTTAAATTAATTTTTTTTAATTATATTCAATTATGCATGTCCTAATCACACATAACTCCATCATTAAAAATAATTTTGTAATCATGAAATGTAAAAAAAATTAACAAATCAAGTTATTTAATAATACATCAAATTTGAAAATATTTTTTAAATTAAAATTTTAAAATATTAAGTTACAAGTAAACTCCATTCATTTCAATGACTCATTTTTTCAGATCCCCACCAAATTTAACCAGTTTCATTAAAATTGATAAATTTGTAGGTCCATTATTCCATTCTTCATGTAGAGGAGCGCCAACAACTCCTCATTTTCTTCCTCATCTGAATCATTCACGCCTCACAACTCCTCATTCCTCCAGTTATATGCTCACCTTGCATGGAACACCCCAATCTATGCACGTCTTACAAGATGACTCCCAAATATAAACAATTGTGCTACCATGATTTCAGGTGTGACCATGGACAATCACCATGGAGGTTCATGTTGGTAACTCACATCTTGGACAGCCACATGAGGCAATGCGACAAGCGTATTCTAATGAAGAAAATGATACACAGTCTTCTTCTTCATATAAGATGAAGAAAAATATCAAAGTTCATTAATGGCAGTAAGGAAGGGGATAGGTTGAGAGGCTACGTATTCGAATATGCAAACCTCGATAATCGATTATAGGTGGCCTCATAATCGTATATGCCTTAGCCCACACTACAAGAAAAATTCATTTTAGCGACCGAAAAAATTGGTCGCTAATGTAAAAAAATTGGCCGTTAATCAATTAGCAATCGAAAAGCGTCGTCGCAAAAAGCCAAATCGCTAATGTGTTAGCGACCGATTTTTATTTCGAGTGTTGCGTTAATTATTTTTTAGTTTAAATTTATTTGAAATAAATATATATATATATATATATATATATATATATATATATATATATATATATACTACTAATGCTTTAAATATATATATCTACTAATAATGTTTTAGTACAGTTTTCAATTACCATCATTAATAGGTATTCATTAAAAAATACAGATATTTTAATGAATGAATTATGTATTTATCACTCTCAATTTTTAACCATCAAATTTAAGAGAATGCTTTTATTTATATATTTTATAGATTTTAGATAATATTAATTAATCTTTTGTTAATTATAATTATTATATATATATATATATAATAATGTAAAATGAAAAAAAAAACTAAACTATTTTATCATAAAACAAAAAGGTCATATTATAAAACCTTAATGAGATATATAAAAATTTAAAAAGAATATTATTTTAATTTGTTTAAAAACAAGTTGAAAATATTAGTAAATTCGAAAGGGTATATACTAGGATTAGTATATATCTAAATATTTTCTTACTTAAGAATTATAGTCTTTTGGTTGGAGTGTCTTTTTGCATTAAAATGCTAATAGTTCATGGTTTCATTCAAATTAAAGTATAACATGAATACAAATATATTAATGAAACTATCATAAAGAAAATGGTAACCACTAGTCAAGGTCGATAGAGTAAAATTATCATGTACAAAATATCATAAGTTTCATCTTTAAGTAAAATAAAATACTTAATATGATATTTATATTAATACTCTTTCACCTATGGCTATGATAGAAACTTGAATATCATGAAATTTTGAAGTCTTATAGAGAGAACAGTAAAGTGTTGAGAATTTTTTGAAATATTGTATATATATATATTTTATATGTGAGGATATAGTGGAGTTTTTTTTTATATTTTATTTATGAATTCATTTAATCTAAATAAAATAAATAATAAAACATATATTTTTAATATAATGGATATATTCGGTGAAATATCTATAATATATAGTTAGGTTTTGAAGATGAATCGATGAAGTGTTTGGATATTCATCGTGATGGTGCTGAAAAGTTTAAAGCATGATAAAAATGCAAGAAACATGATGAGCATGGTTTTGGCGAGGCATTGCCCTAGCTAGAAGTATTGATTGGTTGTTGTTTGAGTTGAGTACAACACGTAAAGAGTGAAGAAGGACGTGAACAAGATAAAATTGATGCTGCTGAGGATTTATTGGCAGTTGGGGTTTGGTAACACATGTCGATGAACAGTAAAGATCATCATACCCACCTACCAAATTCCATGTTCCTTTAATCTCTGTGATTTAACATTTTTTACATCACAAATAACGAAGACTTTGTTTTGCAAGAGAAGACATTGAAAGACGTGATGTGAGTACAGGTGGAGGCTAGAGATGAAATGGTGCCAAATGTGGAAGATTGAGATGATGTGTAGAGAGCCTAGGATGGCAATACATGCAAAATTCAATGCTCAAACTTCAAAATCTCTTCTTATACTTCTGCTTCTTCTCAGATCTTTCACACCACCTTCGTTATGGAATTTATTGTACACAGGTTCATGGTTTGGTGAGAAGAGTTAATGAACCCTCTTTCAATTTCAATTTATTGTACACAGGTTCATGCTAACTTTTTAAAGTTGTTAAAAAGACCATATAATTAAGTCCGATACACTTATCAAATTCTCTCTAGTAACATTAAACACTATTGTTTGGATCACAGATAATAATTTCTATTAAATAAAGACATAATTAATTATAATTCTAATTATATTTAATAAAAGTATGCTTTTTTTCCTAACATGATCACTTCGTGTTGAGATCTAAATCTCCTAATAATATAAGTGTTCATAAATTTATTTAATAAGAAATTAAACAATTAATAGAAAATTTAAAATGTAAAAACATTAAATATATTTTTTTCTTGAAATTAATTTATATAAATCCACATCTCTCTCACACATCGAGACACATGTGAAGAAGATATTTACCAAATAAATTTTAAATATATATAATATGTCCCATTTAATTTTAATAACATCAGCCATGTTATAATTTATTTTGTTATATTATCGAATTCATAGTTCCGTGTGTACATGCTTTTATGTGTCCATACTTTTCACACCGAATATATAATGCCACGTACTTAAAAAAATTATGGATTATTAAAAAAATTGATAAATTATTGTGTTAAATTATTAGTAATTTTGACCTTTTTAACTTGCGTTTGCCCAAAAACTCAATCTACTAATATATGTTTAGTCTATGTAAGAAAATGTATTAGTATACTTAATTTAGTTTTACAAAATGGAATTTTATTTTTCAAATTTTAGTTTCGAAATAAATTCAAATATTTGGAGAAAATTTGTTGTTGTTTACCATATAGCTTTAGTTTATTCTAACATGATTTACTTTCTTTAAACCTAAAAAAAGTATTACTTTAATATTTTAAACTTAATGATATCATTCTCAATCAATAATTTTTAAATATTATTATAATTTGTGCAGATTAGATAATACCGTTAAAATTGAAAAAAATTATTAGAAACCAAAGTATTGGTCTCTTAAATAATAATGATAGGGTTAGGTATCAATAAAGTAGAATATATTTTTTAGGTTGTGTATGTATGATTTGCCTCCCATTTTTATTATATTTAACATTTGATGTTTGGGGAATCATTTATTGCCTCTGAGAAATACTTTGAATCTTCATTTTCAAATTGCCGAGTTGAATCACCGAGCAACACAGTTCCTTTATTAAACCTGAAAGGTGTCGTTCTCCTTCACATGCATGGCCATAACTGAACAACGAGGTCGTCATCACTATTACTACTGTTCTGTGGGAGTTGGATCACAGTAATTACTACGCATACATACTTACAGAACCAACAAAAACAACATCGTCATTTCAGAGTGGTCCCTCTAATTTTCCCCTCACTCTTACCCTCTACCACGTACATATATATCTATTTGTGTGTAAGCTGGCTAGCTATACTACCAATTTTCTTTTTGTTTCCCTCTTTGGTTTGATTCAACCAACCAAAGCCTGCTTTTGATTTTGGAAAAATGGAGATAGAACCAGCCACAACCAACGAAGAGGGTGTTGCAGAAAATGGTGAGACGATGGGAGTTTCTGCAAAGAGAGGGATGTATCTTGTGTGGGAAGATTTAACTGTGGTGGTTCCAAATTTTGGGAATGGACACACCAAGAGATTGATTAACGGGTTGAGTGGATATGCTGAACCTAACAGGATCCTGGCTATCATGGGTCCTTCTGGCTCTGGAAAATCCACTCTTCTTGATGCTTTAGCAGGTTCATCTCCACTTTCTTCACTCCCTTCATCACTACTATAGTGTGTCTCTGTGTGTGCATGTTGTTTTTGTTGTACTTTGTGTAGGATTCTCATGTTTGGTTTTTATATCAAAGAACGTACCTAATATATAACATGTATGTATGTACTTCCATGACTTAAAGCACCCACCATTTTGCTTTGCTTCCTGTGATCTGAACAATTAATGGAACGTATAAGATTTGTTCATCCCACCCACCATTTTTTCTTTCATCTTATTTTTCATATTGGAATGTTTCTGTGTGGTCTCTTTCACATGTTATTTTATAAAGAGAACTGGTGAGGGGAATCAGAATACAACCAAGAAACTTTAATTTATTTAGATCTACTCGCAAAGATTCGGGAAAAACCTAGTTTTCTAGCTTGGATGCACAAATGAACACAACGGGGAATGTTGAAGAAGATAGATGTTATCTCCACTGATATACTGATATTTTGCGTGCGTTATCTTGTATTAACCTTTCTTGGAATCAGGCTTAAAAATTTTCTCAGTTAACAACAATACAAAGTTTACTTTCTTTTCATTTTTTCTCAATTTTTTTTATCAATGAGTATTCTATCTTTTCCTCCTATGTTCATCTAAACAAACAACCGTGCACAGTCGTTCCTATTTCATTTTTAATTTTTCTTTCCAAAGAAAGTGCGAAGATCTATTTGGTGGTGTTCTATTCTACTTTGACCACACCTCATGAATATAAAGAATTTTGACACCCTTTTGCTATTACATCATGATTCATTTGCCCTGAGAGCATCGATTAAAAGATTTATGATGAGAGATAAAACTGAAAAAAGACAGAAAGAAATATGATGAGTGTGAAAAAATAAAAATAAAAATAAGATGTCGATTCCAATCAAAGGAGCAGTGTCCTTCAGTAATAAGTAAATGACTTGCCAACTTAGAAAAGCCAAGCAACTGCAGAACATTATGAGTCATTTATTCATGGAAGCATTTTGGACGTGTAAGGTTGACTGAAGGTTTATGCTTAGCCATAAAAATGAGAATGGAGCCATTAAATTGTTCCATTTTTTTCTGTTGCATTTCAAAGAGAGTAAAAAACATTGTTATAGTTTTAGAGGTCAATTTAAGATGGCAAAAATTACCCATTAGGTTTATGGACACAGTACGTCCCCATTATTTATTACAACTCTTCAAGAAAAGCAACGGTGTCCCTCTTGATTGATTCAGAAGAAATGCAAAGAAAAAAAAAATGAAATCAAAATTTGTGTTCTTTAGTGTGAAAGAGAGTGAAAATCTTATATCATTGTGATCTATTTTAAGCAAAAAAAATTTCCTGTTTCTTTTTAATGAAATATTTAAAATTTTTATTTTAGTTTTCAATTTTTTTTCATTCTATTTCTCCCCTCTCTCTTAACTTGATGAACATCTAAATGGCCAAACAAGGAGGTTTACTTCCAATCACCCCCTTCTTTCCTCATTTGAGAAATCTGAGTTCATTTATTGTCTTTTGAGTCACAGTATCTACCCCCTCGTATGGAGGATTGAATGTTTCATTATTTTTAATGGACTTTACCAAGATTATCTGAATTGTTATCTTTATTTCATTTTTTATAAATAATTTAAAATATCACTCATTTCTTATTTTCAAATAGATATACAGAAAGTGGTAAATGAAGAAAAGTTTTTTTTTTTTACTATTTGTATAAACATTAAAATTGCAGAGCATAAAAACAAGAACATTTCCGTAATTACTAATGGAAACAAAAAGATCATCTTAGATCAATGCAGAAAAAAAGAAAAATACTGTAAATGCAAAAACATTGTATCATCCAAACAGAAACCTCCACCAAACAGGCTTTGATGTATGCATAATTAAAATAAAAGGTAGGTGAAGATATAGACCCCACTGGTTTGGAAATTGGGTAGGCATTAATGAATCTGTAATTAAGCTACCTTTGTGGTAATGTACCTTTTTCCTTATACTATGTAATTTTATTTATTCTTTTGTACTTTAGCTGTTTTTTTCTACAGGCCATTTTAGGTTGTTTGATCGAGTTTATTTTCGGTCTTTGTAAGCAAATTTATCAGTTGGAGAGATATCAGTTTTATTTGTTTTTCTTCTGCGTAACTTTGGAATTTTAAAAATCATCTTTAAGTATAAAAAGAACAAAAGCTAGCTTCGTGGTATTTTAAGTTTCTTAATTATTTAAGACTAAACTTCCGTATGTTATGGACGTTAACATTGAATAACTGGGATTCATTGCAGGAAGACTCTGCAGAAATGTGATAATGTCTGGAAATGTGTTTGTAAATGGAAAGAAGAGGAGATTGGGCTATGGGGGTGTAGTAAGTATTACAATATGATTTCAGTGTTCATCAATGTGGTAACTCATACATAAGATTGATTATGTTGTTGTGAACGTACCAGGCTTATGTGACCCAGGAAGACACAATGCTGGGAACACTAACGGTGAGAGAGACAATAAATTACTCAGCGAAACTAAGACTTCCAAGTAGCATGAGGAAAGAAGAGATGAATGAGATAATAGAGGGAACAATTACGGAGATGGGTCTTGAAGAATGTGCAGATAGGTTAATAGGGAATTGGCACTTGAGAGGTATAAGCGGTGGAGAAAAGAGAAGGCTAAGCATAGCTCTTGAAATCCTCACAAGGCCTTCTCTCTTGTTCCTTGATGAACCCACCAGTGGTCTCGACAGTGCCTCAGCATATTTTGTTGCCCAAACTTTGAGAAATTTGGCTCATGATGCCAAGACTGTTATCTCTTCTATTCACCAACCGAGCAGTGAGGTTTTTGCTCTCTTTGACCATCTCTTTCTTCTTTCTGGGGGTCAAACAATATACTTTGGACCTGCACAAAAGGCAACTGAGGTACATTCATTGTTCATATTCTAATGTAACAATCAAAACCATGTGTTCAGAACGTTAATATACAGGTTAAAAACTCACATAATTTATCCACGTGCAGTTCTTTGCCAAAGCCGGATTCCCATGTCCAAGTAGAAGAAACCCTTCTGATCATTTCCTCCGTTGTATCAATTCAGACTTCGATGCTGTTACAACCACTATGATGGCCTCTCAAAGACTTCGTGTATATATGTCTAACCATTTCTTTTATCTATATATATTCACAACTTTTCATAATTATTATTCGTCTATTTTACTTATTCTTTCATAATACAGGAAGGAATTTCACTATCAACTGCAGCAACCAAAGCAAAGCTCATAGAAAAATACCGATGGTCAGAGCATGCAACTACTGCAAGGGAAAGAATCAAGGAAATCTCAAAAATTGTAAGTAGCCCTTCCCTCAGATAATATCGTTTGCACGAGCTGGTATTACAGCTAATTATAGGCTGTGGAAGAAAAAACATTAATCTACTTTGATTTCTTGACTTGTCGTGCAAATGCACTAAATTTTTTAAATACTTATCATTTTTCTCTATCTTTATCTTCGTAATCAAGTTATATCTTTTATAATATATATATATATATATATATATATATATATATATATATATATATATATATATTATCTTCTTTTTTTTTCACTCTCTCACCATGTGTTTATTATAATTTGGGTGCAAGTTTTATTTTTCAAACACTTTATACAATACTCTCTTCATCTCTTGGAAAATATAATCTTCGAATATAATGACTAACCCATATGAAAAATATCAAATCATGGGAACATATTTGGTGTTGGTCCGTTAGATTTCAGAAACATTATGTGTTGTAAGGACCAAGGAATTAATCGTGTTGCTGCAGGAAGGGCATGATTTTGAAAGAAAAAGCAAATGCGAAGCAAAATGGTGGAAGCAACTGTCAACGCTGACTCGGAGATCTTTCGTGAACATGTCCAGAGATGTGGGATACTACTGGATTAGGATAACCATCTATGTGGCCTTATCATTCTGTGTTGGAACAATCTTCTATGGAGTTGGATCGAGTTATAGAGCCATTTTTGCTAGAGGAGCATGTGGTGCTTTTATCTCAGGTTTCATGACATTCATGTCCATTGGGGGCTTCCCTTCTTTCATAGAAGAAATGAAGGTATATGCAATGAATTTTGATACTACCATAATAAAAGTGTAAACCATGAGAAGAAAAGGGTTATGGAAATTATGAGAATTAGGTTTTTTTATCAATGGTTAACTCTTTTTACCTCTCTTGATACAGGTGTTCAACAAAGAAAGACTGAATGGGTATTATGGCGTTGGAGTCTACATTCTCTCAAATTTTCTCTCTTCTTTTCCCTTTGTGACAGTGATGTCCGTTGCCACAGGGACAATAACCTATTACATGGTTAAGTTTCGTCCAGAGTTTTCTCATTTTGTGTATATCTGTCTGGATCTCATCGGGTGCATTGCTGTTGTGGAGAGCTCCATGATGATTATAGCTTCACTGGTTCCCAACTTCCTCATGGGATTGATAATTGGAGCAGGATATATTGTAAGTGTACTTTATATAAATATAAGCTAACCCTAATTTTTGGTTGAAAAATTAACTGTTGCTGATATTAATTAAGGTGTGTGTGCAGGGTGTTATGATGATGACTGCTGGTTTTTTCCGTCGGATCCCTGATCTTCCCAAATTCTTCTGGCGTTACCCAATATCATACATCAATTATGCTGCATGGGGATTGCAGGTACTTTAAAAACATCCCTATTTTCCAATCAAGAGAGAAAATCTAAAGTGAATAATCATAATGATATAACTCTAATTACAGCTTCGAATTTTGGGAGTTGTAATGTAACAGCTGCAATTTGTTGATTATGTCCTTTTGCAGGGAGCATATAAGAATGACATGATAGGGATGGAGTTCGAACCCTTAGAACCTGGGGGCCCAAAACTGAAAGGAGAATTCATCCTGAAAAGCGTGCTTGGAATGGAAATTGATTATTCAAAGTGGTGGGACTTGGGTGCAGTGATGATGATCCTGATAGTGTTTAGGGTTCTTTTCTTTTTAATTCTGAAATTTAAGGAGAGAGTTGGACCTTTGTTTTATAGCATCTACGCCAGGCAAACTCTTCACCGTATCAAGAAGCGACCTTCGTTCAGGAAAGGACCATCTTTCCCTTCCAAAAGACACCAGTCACTGCATCCCTTGTCTTCTCAAGAGGGTCTCAACTCCCCTATTCGTTAGAACCATTTCCTCATACAAACATAAAACCATATCATCACATAATCCATACCCCAATATTATAGTATTGTATAATTAATTTCGTGTACTTTATCTTCATAATTGACATGAATAAAATAGAATATATCAGTAAGAAAAGCAACGCCTGATACCATGACAGAAATTAGTTTTCAATATATATATATAGATTATAAGTTTCTAATGTCTTTTGTGTGTTTTATAGATTACATTTTCTCTTTGGACGGTAAAACCGGCCTGGTGGGGGAAAAAAATCTTTTTGTAGTACATTATGGAGGGTTTTTCAATTTTGTGTGATGTTGAAGATGAAGAAGAGAATGATAAAGATAAAAAAATTAAAGTGTAAAAATTTCTGGTGAGGATAATGTCAAATGTTATCAAAATAGAAAAATATATTATAATTTTTGTTTTAGGAATTTAAATTTTTCAATATAAAAAATAAGATATATACGTTAATTATAACTTTTTAATATAATATATTAATTTATATTATTAAACCATTTTATTATTAAACTTATTAAAAAAAGAAATGCATTTAAAAAAATATAATGACAGGTAAGTTTGTCAATCCATCATTTGATGACATAAACATCCTTTATAACTTATTATGATTATAATGTATCAACCTGTCATGTTACATTTTCTGTGCGTCAAAGACGTAAGGAACTCAGCAGTTTTGTGATTTTAATTTTCTCTCTTGTATATTTCTCTATTTTCTCATTATAATAAGTAAAGGTTTTTCTTTCCGATAATACTGTAAACAAAATGAGAGGGAGGGAATAATATATGAAATCAATCTTCTTCTTCCTTTTTTATTGGGTTTTTCTATGTTCATTGTAGGTATATTTTATTGCGATATTGTAACTGTTGTTGATATGATAAACTTTTGCATAAGAATGAACACACAAATTTTCACTAAAATCTTTTTGAGTTCAATCACGTATGTTATAACCAAGAGTCTTGATTGACTATCTCCCCTTCACCTGAATGGCCATAAGTCCTACACACCCTTTTAGTTACTGTTCTATCTGTGCGATTGGATGACATTAATTACCGCGCATAGTTCACGAATTACCAAAACCGACTTGTGATTGTTCCACGTGTAAGCTGATTAAAAAAATTTCTATTTTTAAAATTTAAATTTTATTAATAAAATTAATTTTTATTTAAAATAAAATAATTTAATATATAATTTATAAATTAGAAAAGAATGTATTTATCTAATATCAAAATAAGAATTACAAAATTACTATTTATTATCATTATTTATTTTATAATAATTTATAAATTTAAAATATTAATTATTAGATCTTAACATTAGAAATTTATTCTAATATTTACTCTTACAATAAGAGAATTCTTCCTCAAATTAATTTATAATATATATTTTTTTATATAAAATAATATTATTTTTATTTTAAAAATTATTGTTATTTTATAAAACAAACTTATCCATAAACTTACGGACTAACTACGCCTAAGTTTATATAGATCATCACTTAAATAAATTAAGATAAAATTGATTTAATACAGGCCACAAATTTTTTGGTCTAACTTGACCTATTTTACAGATATTTTAAGTTAACTCATAGGATTAAACCTATTTTGACTCTCTACTCTTGGTACATCACTAGTATGTGTGCATGTTATTATTTTTTTTTACATTTATACTATTTTCTTTCCAAAATTAAGATAATCTTTCATGTTTGGTTTATATACTAACACAACCCTTTAGCTTTGCCCTTTATTCTTGTGTCTTTTGTTTAAAGGTTAGGTTTTGTGTAGTGATTAAAAACCATTAATGAGTCGATTAAGGTGTTAATTGATATATGTGGACAACCATTATGTAGTAGCATATTGAATCTGGGAATAAAGTAAATGATTTTGAAACTGACCAATAGCTCGATCAATGTTAAGAAACTGATTATGGAATGTGGGCACACTTACCGTGGACACAAAATAAAATGTTTCTATCATGTAGTAGCATCACAAATTGTCGAATAGGTCCATAAATGTTTAAAATTGTGCAACTGATATGAACTCAATTTACACAAAGACTGACTAAGGATCTTTAGGGTTGGAATCTCTTGTAAAAAATTTAGAAAATGAGTGAAAAGATAGAATTAAAAAGTGGTAAAAATTTTAAGGTTGAACAGTATTTTTGAAACGTCGATATCTATAAAACTCTTATTGAGATGATTAAAAAGCGATGTGAAAATTTTCGTTCTGAATTTCAATTTATGCTCAAAAAATACTCAATTTGAATTAGTAGAACGAAAGTTATGACCACGAAATAAATTTAGATAGAATTAAGTTTTCTGGATCATGGTGAAGAAAGAACAAGAGGTGAATGTGAAAGGTCAAAGCAAATAATCACTTTTCCCAAAGGAGGTAATGTAAAAGCCCTTTGATACATTCAAGGGTTCTTAAATCACTCAAGAATTTAAGAGAATCACTCTCACCAAGATAAAAGAGTTAAACTCTAATATTTTTTAATAAAACTCAACTTGTCATTTCTGATAAAAATGGTTTAGCTTATGTAGAAGCCTTGTCATCAAAGTTACAGAGACTTAAAAAAGAAAATAAATATTAATAATGATTCATTAATCTAGTAATTGAAAACTACTTAATGGAGGCAAATAAAATGTTAATAATGATCCATTAACCTAGAAATTCAAAACTACTCAATGGTTGATTGTAATCGAAATTGTGGTCGATAGCTAAGTTTCCAATTGGGCCTTTATTACAACTTGAAACAAAACCAAACTAAATCTCATTAATTGATTAACCCAAAACATAATTTGGTCAGCCAATTTTACAAAGGATTGAGTTATTATTTAAACAAATTTAAAGATTGAAACAAAGTGACGCATTAGTCCTCCTCCATTTGGGTCATGATGCAATTCACAATTTTGGTCTTTTCTCCTTGAAATGTGGGCTTATATTCAAATAATATAGAAAACACTTGTTGAAGAACTTCCTTTGTTTTCCTTGCTCTAGCCATTGTCATAGGTCCTCCAAGTCCTTCAAGTGGATCATTACCTTGCTCATGGTCATGTCCCCATCAGGAACTAATTATTTGTTCCTCATTTATTTTTGTATATATGAATTTGTTTGCCCTATTTCTCATTTTTTGAATAATTAGTTATACTTTCATTTTATTGTTTATAAAAGTGAGAAGAGTGCAAGTTGTCCGTATAAAACACTAAAATGTGTGTTAGATGTGAAAGTATTCATTCATTATAAAATATTGACAAAGAGTATATGTTGATATGTTTTTTATTTTTTATTGATCTTTGTTCTTATTCAATATGATGGGATGAATGGTTAAGAAATTGTTGGATGAATATTTAGATTATTGGAATGCATTGATTGTTATTAGCATTATGAGTTACTAATTTGGTTTTATATATGTGAATTTCGTGCATATGTCACTTAGACATGAATGCAAGAAAAAATGGATTGGAAAAGTTAATAATAATATTTTAATAAGTTATAAAAATAGAATTTTAGACATTCCTTTTAATGTGTAATTGGAAATGGGTGAAAAGTTAAAGATATATTTTTCATTATTGTGAGTTATGTAGTAGATGAGATGAAAAAATATGTGGTTTTAGAATACGGGATAAAGTAATATCTTTTACACCCTTAAATATTTGTTTAACTTTAAGACTTCATATAACTAGAGAGAAAGTTTATTTTGATGAAAATGGTGATTGTTTGATGGCAATCATATTTCGCAGGAAGTATGTTTATTTAGAAAATATTTTTGCTAAACTTGAGTAATTCCGTAGTGAAGATGACCTTGATGATTTTTGTAGATTGTACATACTTCTTGGGTTGACAAAAGTTTTATTTTCCAAACACATATCCTTATATGTGTAAGTTTCTTCAAGGTATTAAATGATATACAAGTGATTGACAGATATAAGTAGGGTGTTGTTGTGTATATGAAAAATTATTTGAAAGCGTTTGTCGAAAGTCTTATTCTTTGTTGGAAGAAACAAATTCATCGCAGTTGCACATTATTAAATGTGTTTTAGTATTACTGGTACGTTATTAACTTTTTTTATATTATCTTATTATTAAGTTAATTATATATATTTCAACTACTTTGGTCATTTAATTGAAATTGTAGGTTTGGGCCTTTGAGCATCTACTCTAGTAAAAGGTATTGAAACCAAAAATGTAATCCCTCAGTGTTTGAAGTGGGCTGATGTTTTAGTGAGAAAAAAAAAATTATATCACCTTCCTGCAAGAAAAAAATTTGGTATGTATTGCTTTAATCATTATTTTCATGTAGGCATTGTGTATTATGTAATGCATGTTTTCATATGAATGATAAGTTGTGGAGAATCTTTCTATAACAAATGATGAGGTTGCACATGATTTTGTTAGGGAGCATTTATAGAAGAAAATAAGAATTTTATCTATTTGAATACTTTTGGTATCGATATCAAGCATATTGTTGTTGACAATACAATCTTATTAGAGAAAAATAGAAGATTAGAGAAAAGGATCAGAACTTGAGATACAATTATTATAGATAAAGGAATATTTGAAGCAGCAACAAGTGTTTTGTAATGATGGATACAGGGGAAATAGTGATGATTTTGAAGTCTCCACTGAAAAGGCACACAAATTAAATGAAGACATTGATATTGTATATGAAGATCCTAAAATCATCCTTATTGAAGGTTCTAATATATACAGTTGGATAAAACAGAAGCTTAGAAAATGTGTTCGCACCATGACTTAAGTATCAGGAAGAAATACACATGGACAAATTATTTGATGTATATTTTAGTTATACTTACTCATGTAACTGCTTCGCCATTATGTTAAAGTATATTAATATGACATAGAGTATTATCCAGCAAATATTTAGTGTGGTTGGAATTTATGTACTTATTGTGTATCGTGGATGTTGTCCAAACATTAATAGAAAGGGATGGTACAATAATCATTGTATGATTAGTATATGG